TGCCGTTCTAATCAATGGGAATTTATAATAACCGCACGCCGTAGAAAAACCTCTCCTACGCCGGACCGACACGACTCGGGCTCGCGTCGCTCCGGCAAGAGTTCGTTTCGCAGGGTTGGTTTTGCTGCTACTTGCCGAGTGAGTCTACGAAACGTCTTCGGATCAGAAACTAAATCTCAATGCCTCGACTGTGTGTTTTCAATCTACCGATAATTGGCGGACGATTAGCCAGTCAACGATCCGTCAATGAAGAAATGTCCGTTCTAATGCTTTTGCTAGTTCCTTTTTCTATAATTAAAAACAAGTTACGATCCAACGCATCCTCTAACCGCGACTATAAAATGATATTATAAGTATATAGTTTAAAGATCGATGGGTCTATTAGGGACCCTCGCTGCGAATGGTAAACTGATGACTCAAGAGAACGGATTTCACACGTTTGTGTCTCCGTTCATTAGATTTAAATTTCTTCGTTTTTGTAATGTACTCGGACGAATAGTATTATAAGGGCACGTGACGGCGGCGCGACTCGGTGAATATCGATCCAGAGACCGTGTAAGCGATCCCCGAGCCAAGCAAACTTCAGTTTTGCCATGGCGTGACTGGCACAAACGTGTTTCTATTAATAACCGTACACATATTACAGTTTTGATATTAAAAACCTGGCAGAAAAAGATCGTGAAAAACAGAGCTGAAAATGATTGCTAAACATTAGATGACTGATGGATATCATTGCCAACTCGAGCCTGGGAAGAGTTCTCATGCGGATCTGCGTAGAACAGTGTAGAAACAACTGTTCTCTTCCGCGAATAGAAACCAGTCCCATCGGCCACCGTTGTTCAACCGCTGCGCCCTGGAAGTTGTCCAAGGGCTCCTAATCTAGTTTTCCTAACTGGAAACGCGTGAAACGGTACCGACGCGTGCAACGGTAGGTCTGCGCCGACGTTGGCACACAGTTGTCCGAGTCTTCTGCAACCCAACGCCTTGTTTTTCGCGAAGATCGTGTCGGGACAAGTTCCTTGCAAATCATCTTCGATGTAGACGAAGCCAGTTTGATATCCGATGGTTCGGGGCAGTCTCTACTCGCGAAGTAACGAGAAGATGGTATACTTAACCCGCTGGCTTACTTTGCCGCAACCGTGAAGACGTTTGTTACTTTACCAGCTAAAAGCTGGGCGATGCAACTGCATCATATCTTCCGTAATGCGGAGATTTGCCAAGGGACGCAAGAAAATGTTCTTACGTCTAATGGATGCAGTCATCTTCAACGGTTTAGCTACTCCGAAGAAAATAGCAGTGATCGTGCGTGCGCGTTTAGGACCGGATTAGCGTTATTGTACTTAATAGCTGTAGTTATCTTTGACAGTTATGCTCTGTCGAAGATGGTTACCTGTATCTTTCGGCCGTCACTTAATTTAACGTAATGTAACCGCGTATAATTTAATTCATTCAAATATTACTAGCTACCATCGCTATCTGTCGATACGGTGAATTAATTTCGATCATTTCGATCGTCGATCGCGACAATGGGTTATCGACGCAGTGCACCCCGCAGCGAATTTCGCGTATACCCATTCGGCCCTGATCCGTGATGAGTCGCGTGCATCGAAATATAAATGTAATCTATTATTATCTAACCCAATACATTAATTTTAGCCGTAATCTATTATGTAATCTATTCAATTCGATCAATTGAATGGAGAAAATAGAGTTTCTGGGACTGCGTTGTTGGAACAGTAATTACTGACCCAGGGGCATGACGTTTACAAGAACCCGTTAGCTGCTTGCACGCGTACACCGCCGCTGCGAACGGATCCGATAATTAATTTAGCATCGTTAACCGCGTACGGTCTATCGAACGCCGAATACGGAGGTGCTTTAAAACGTACCGATTAATGTTGCCGTATTATTAAGCGTGCAAGAGCGATACGCGGGATGTCTCGCGCAGCTTTATGGCCTCAAATGCTACCACCACCTCGCTACACGTTTCTTTCACCTAGTATACGTGCAACGCGTAGGTCTTTAAGCCCCGTGTGCGTACTGTATTTAGTTTCGCTCTATGGCTGACAGAGGGGTCGGTGCCCTCAGGGATTAAAATGAAATTTGGAGGGGTGAATTTGGAGCTTGTAAATTCACGCTTCAGAGAATTTATTCTATTCCACCTACTGGCGTTCAAGTTGCGAAAATCGTTAAGTCGATTGGGTGCGAACTCATCGCGGTTCGGATGAAATATTTCGCACAATACGGAAAATTTATTTTCCAGTGAAATTTCTAAAGAAGAATACCCCAATTTTGTAATCGTTCCCGACGATTGGAGCCCGTTTCGGTTCTGATTACCGCGACTTCATTGTAACAGGATGAAAAGGACCAGACCGACCTGCTCATTGCACTCCATCGAGCGAAAATTAATTGGAACACGCTGCCGGCTCGTGCTCGGCTCCAAATTTGTCGAACGATTAAAACGAGGAGGCACGGTGCGTCGAATTATCGAATTGTCCTATCGGGATTGCAACAATTGTCGCTGCAAACAACCTGCCCCCGCCGATCGCTGTTTCGAGGATCGCGTATTTATTTCTGCACGGGACGCGTTCGCCGTTCCTGTTGTAGCTGCGATTAAATATTGCTCATTCCCTGACAGTGCACCGTTTTACGGAACTCCGGCGATTGGACAAACGCGAAATTCTCTAAAATGGCGGCGGTTCTTGCGTTTATGGAACGATAATTTATCGAGTTTCCAAGTTCTTAGGAACGAAACCATTCGTGCGGAGTTCGCTGTTTGCGAACGCCAGCGGATCAGGCCCGTCAGCGTGAACTGATTTTAATTGAAATTAGGGTAGATTTGCGGGGCAAGATCAATGCCAACTTCTCTGGCAGGTTGGAAGATGGAAGACAAGTTAACCAAACGCGTCTTTGAATGGTCTGGTTCAACAATGTCGGCGCTTCCACGGCCGATTAAACAGAGCAGTGGCGTGATTATTCGAGAAACTTTCGCAGTACGTTTAAGTTCGGATCACTTTTCACCGTTTGTGTTAATAGATCGCGTCGACGGTGGTTTTTTTTTTGTAATATTCCAAAAAAAAAAATTTTTTGGTCAAGGTTTGTACGAGAAGAGATTTACGAGAGTGACACGAGCCATCGCCACTGGATGACGCTAATCCTACCGACGCCATTGGGCACGTTAATCGAGGTGCCTGGATAAGAAGAGAATCACAAGCGTAGTGGAACGATTCTCCAGGGCAAGTTCGCCGAGATACCGGGTCGGGAGAGTTCGTAAAAATGTTTAACCTTCTCAGCGTCGAGGTATGCAAGACTGTACAGCAAGTTCGCGCGTTTTAGTTCGAGCAAGGCTTCGACGTCCCCATGGACGACTCGCGTGGAAATTCCATGGTGGCGCCGGGAACCGCGAAACTTTACGTACCGTGTGCACTTGTTCGACGCACTTTAAAATTTAAATCATGAATCGTAGACCACAGGAGTGAACGCATAGACGCGACGTCTCATTTAAAATAGCTGCCTCTTTGAATCCGATTTCAGAGAATTAACGTCGTGCAATTTTTAACGCGTAACTCGTATAATAAATAGATGTATTCAAATTCGACGCTCCATCGCGTGCAATTTTACCCCATTTCATGCACGTACGGCACACTGCGAATCTGGGTGACACTCGTCCAGCAGGTATGTTGAACCCGAACACGTCTCCCCTTCCATATATCTCGGTTTACTTTTCACTGGTACCCGCCAAGGTCAGCCGACGAGGGAACAGGCACCGTGCTTTCATCGATTCATCGCGGCTCGGACGCGTATCGTTAACTCAATTGCAATGCTTTCGTTCCAGTGGTATCCACTATTAGCCAATTGCAAGACAGATCTTTCACTCTTGATCCGTAACATGTTACGACACGTCTGTGTAAAATACTCTTCTTATTTCAGATAACAATGACCCAAATAGTCGAACGGACATCGAGCGAGATGGTCGTCGTGAGCATTTTTTTACCTTTTCCTCGAATCATCGTAATTCGTCAGATATCGCCACTCGAAGATTTTTCTATGGCAAAAAGGTAAATCGATCTAAAATTTCTCTCAGTTTTTTAGCTCGTCCTTCTCACGCTCGACGCTTCTCTCTGGCTCTCGCTATGTATTAACCCGGTAGCCTACTTCCTGGCGCCAACAGCCGCGGGGCTTTCGAAAATACTTTGCGTACCTATTCGCCGCTCCTTGCGTCACGATGGCTCGCGAGAAGCCCTATTCACGCTCAGAAAGGTCCGAATAACTCGTAGCAAGGCGAATGCCGAAGTGGAACCATCGAAGAACGTATGCAATGCGAGTTGCAAAGGAGGGTTCTGAAAAATGAGGCTTCTTTCCTTGGAACCGAAAATTGCAGGGCGTTTTGTAATTTCAACCTACTCCAACCGAATGTATCGGATAAGTTGAGAATCACGGTGTCCGTGCATATTTTTAATCAGTCTCGTTTTAGACATTCTAAAAATGTAATCAAAATGGAGCAAGTGCTTAACAAATATATGGTACCGGACATTTTATATTAGGAATATACTCGGTAGGAACGTAATTTTATAAATTAGAAAAGAACCCGAGGCAATACGTGGCGCTCATTTGTATACGCGAAAAGAAAGTTTGCAAAAATGGTAACGGGAAACGACGTTGCATGTGGCGGCATGTGTGTACACGACTGAATCCCACTGCTTCGATACGGAAAATAGCAACGGAATCGAACATTAACCAAAGTACCGTTTCACGAATTCTAAAAGCACGGAACGAGTTTCATCTGTATCGTTATTCCATACGGCTTGGAATAAAGTCTAATATTACGATTCCATTGTTCGTACCTGAATACTTTTGTTCGCGTAATATAGAACGTCCATTATTAAAATTTTCAGAGAAAGTTTTTCGCGTGCCAGCCTAATAAGAATCTTAAACAAAGGGAGCATAATTCATCAATTACGCCTTGTACGCGTGCATAAATAATAATGGGAAACACTCACCACCTCGGCAACGTTGCCGGAACCGTCCCTCATGCCATCTCTGTCGGCGCGTCCCCCTGCGAAGGAAAGAAGAAATCATTTATTACAGGTTATTATTAGGGTAACCATCTCTACGTCATGGGAAAATGGGTTCGGAAAACAGCGTTTGTCCCTTTGTTGCATTTTCATATCTCCCGAAAGAGAAATTATCTATTCGTTACTCGTATGTACATCCACGAATTAACCGATGAAAGATAAGTTCGCTGAACACCTCGGAAAGGGTTCAGGTAGTCTGAAAAGTACGTTTGGTAACCACAGTTATTACGCAATCGACGAGAAACTCGGAGCTTCCGTAACCCGTATCGTAAAACTCCTCTGCGACGAAGCACGGAGCGGACGCACGCGTTTCACGGGCGTGTTTCATGTCTACTCGATCGCTCGGGATTCAGGCCAATCGTTACACTCGAGTGAACAACAAATGCGATAGACGGAAGTACCGAGGGAGCTAACTGGAAACGGAAAACGACCAACTGGTTGGCGCTAGCGTGAGCGAGCGAAGAGCTGCTATCATTCATTATTTTCCCCCACTTTCCACGGAATCCGTCGTCCGTCTGTTACGTCGACCGATTTCCTCGTCCACGTGATCTCGCGGCAATCGGTGTAATTAACGCGAACCGGAGGAATGCGTACACGATCGAATGTGTCATTGACTGTCTAGGCATATTTCCCGACGATGAATTATTCAGCGGCATCGGTGTTTGAGATAGTAAAAGTTTCGCAACGGAGAACGGTTGCGCAACATCTGCGAGAAAATCGCGTCTAAATCGGGAATCGGTAAACTTGTTACGACAACGGGACCCTTAGTTGTGTCCTCGGAGATTTTTATACTATTTTACGCATTTTTCGTTTAGGGGATGTTCTAATTTAGAACCTTAAAAATATCAATTTTTTTGCATTTTCTCAAAGCAGATATCTAAAAATATGTCTGCCAAAGGATTTTGTTGAATTCGGAAAACGAACAAAGTTGAGTACGTTTAAAGTTCGTTGCAGTTTTTACTACATCTTCGTTGGTAATGTGTAAAACATGCATACGTGGTAAAAGAAAATGTCTAGATTAGAATACCCTTTTAATATCCTATCGACTCAGCAATTTTACAAACGCGTCGTTTAATAATTGAACTTTTTTCCACGATATCATCCCGTTTCGAATCGAGCGTATTCGTACCGCTACCTTGAATCGCAAACGAACATAAGCGTGGATTAAGTCGCGCGTACGAAACTGTTCAATTAGCGAGACTACGAGACTACGCAACGGCCATTGGCTGCACGCGGAAACATCGAGCTGGTTCGCGGTTAAAATTCACCGAGTCCAGCTGTTAATTAACGGAAAATTGAACTTGCGCGGCGGAAATTAGTTCGGTGCACGCGGCGTAGTCGTACAGAACCGCGTAACGTTCATGAAGATTTAATTAGGAGCCGGCGGATTCTTGTCCGTGCAAAGAGCAATTCCGGTCGTAACACCGATGAGGAACTTGGAACGACAAAGCTCTAACGTGTTACCATTCCAGACCGAACTTTCCTAACTTTGTCGCAATAGCCAACGAAAGGCGAGCCTTTCAACCCCGTGAACTTTTCGTTCCGAAAGTAATTTATCCCAGACGCAATTAACCCCGACGCTAACGCCGCGCCGCGATACGGTCAATGGCGTGAACGTCGCGAAAGTATTCTCGAATGGAACTTTGATCAACGAGACATGCTCGAACCTGACTCTCAATTTTTAATAGACTTCTGCTCTAAAAGTAAAAGATAAGTTGTTTTCGTTCTTGTATAAAACACGTGTGCAGCGTGATTATGGTCGAGCGAACGATTCGACTGCTCGAGAAGGAACACAGATGGACGAACGATCGCAGACGAGAGCGTTGAGACGTTCTCGATGGTCAATTTCGTGTTTTCGTTTTTCGATACGGCCAAGCGATCCCCTCTCGAAGCTTAAGCGTATCGCGTCAGCTAATCGTCGTAATTTCGTGGGTACGTTCCCTACCTAACGTTACTGCGGTATTTCGGACGGAAAAGAGTTATTACCGCGCTGAAACGTACAGAACTGTCAAGCAAAGTATACGACAGGTTGAATAAATGGTTCCCGCCACAGGAGCGCCATGAAATTAGCGACTTCCACAATTTCCAGAACGGAATGGGACTAATTACGCTCGTGTAAGTAGACGCACGGCGCAAAATATTGGACTTTCGTTCAAAACGGAGACCTGCTATTTATCTCTTCATCGGTAATTAACTAGAAACGAATATACCAGAGAAAGAAAGTATTCTCTCTTCTTGGTTAGTTTACAAATTTTCTGTTGACAATCGGAACAATTAAAGGCGTGAAAATTCGAATACGAAAATAGAATCGACTTTAATCTCGAACTGGGAAAAATCTCCAACGTTGCTAGCTTCTTTGTTATTTGTCGGTACTCCCATAGGTAAATCTTGGGGTCCTCGCCGCCAAGGTACGCTATACGATGGTTTCTTTTCCCAGAGGTGCTTTTTATATTCTCGGAATAGTTGACATTCTCGAACGACGTAAACACGGTTGAATGCACAAAGGAAAATACTGGTACTGTATGGACGGCGTATGCAATTCAAGAATATTAGCCCCTGTCGTCGCGGAAGATCGATCGCTCGAGGTATTGATAAGTGCTGCAAGAAATATCTTTTGTCTCGCTTCGTGGGAAGCTCGCGAAGTCATAGAAACTTGTATTCAACGCAACAACCGTGTCGCCTTGAATCGAATGTACCGCGAATACCGACAATTGTATTTTTCAAGCAACGCGTTCCAAAGATGAGGGAATTTGGAATGATATTGGCCACTGTGTATGGAATTACCAAGTCTCTTAAAGTGTATTCCTTTGGAAGTAAGAGCGAAATAACCGCTCCGTAAGCCTTAATGTCCCGATATGGTCCGTGTTATTAAAAACTCGCCGACCCCCGCTATCGAAGGAACGGACAAAAGCGCGCGAAATTCCATTGAAACGGATTCAAATTTTCCACAGAGTACGCGTCGCCCTACCTCGTGGCCAAATACGTCGCACTTCGTTTTTCGAAGCCAGCAGTATTCGATTTGAAAGTTAAATCGACCTTACCGGTGTCACCGGTACCGGGAAGAGGATTTTAATTGAAATTTTGCCGAAGCCGCGAGAGAAGCAAAGGCACGCGGGAACGAAAGAGGTAGATGGAGAGGATGTGAAAGAAAAAAAATGGCCGCGTTGTACGGCGCATGCGCGTGTCCCACGAGAGGCAAGATCGAGTGTTTTAAAAACACGCAAGAGGCGACGAGTGGGATTTCAAGGTTAGGCGGGCTCGAAACAGTCGAGGTTATACAGAGAACGAACGAACTTTTCTTCCACAGATTCGACAAAATCGTGTAAAAAGAAACAGCCTAAAGCTCTTATCGATACATATGTATCTCTGGTATTAACGTATGTACATCGATAGAGCTGCCCCCTCTGTCAAATTTACGATAAGGATCGTGTGTCATTTCGCGAGAAATATTCGGAGATTAACACTTTGAAATCGTTTACGGTCGTGACACGATTCCACGAGATAGGATATTTGTCGTACCTACATACTTAAAGCTTTACGTATCCCTACTGAATTTCTGACAAATATTCTTGTATACGAAATACAGTTTCAACTTTGTTCCGCAGTTTAGAACAAGCGATCATATTTGATCACGTGGTTCGTAGATGGGGTATCGACGACGAAATTAAATACAGCTTATCGAACAAAGTCGATAAGCTGTTTCGAAAACACAAAGAGCATCGATAAAGAACAGAAAATGAGTAGATTCGGGTGTTAGTCGAAGAGAAATGGACGGGAGTAGATCTAACCTGTCGCAGATAAAACTCGCTATCTTCCATGGGAAAAGGCAACGACCGACAACAAAACTATGAAAGCCACCTACCTTTTTTATAAACCGGCAAAATTTTGGCGATTCTCGAGTCGCCCGTGTAATCCAGTTCTCGGCGATCGCGTGCTGTTCTTCCTTCGGAGTCCTCTTGTCTGGATATTTCGTCTCGTTTGCACTTAATCGCGGTGTCGCAGTTTACTGCTTGCCCACTGCCCCCCCTCCCCCCCCCCCCTCGCGCCGGGCTACGAGGCTTTCTTTCTCTTCTCCACGAACCAAACCTCACCCTGCACCGGCACACTACGACACACCGTACCACGACCACACTCCACGAGCACGAACAAGAACCCGTAGTAGGCGCACCTCCGAAGAGAGATCAGAAAATCACCGCGGCAGCTATATTCCTCGTTCTTCCAGCATCACCGATCCAGAAACTATCCCCGAATATCAACTGCTTCCTGTACTCGTTGCTGACTTATCTTTGACAAGAAATCTACGCGCCAAACGCATATGTCACTTGATCGAGAGAGAGAGAGAGAGAGAGAGGGTTCTGCTCCAAAAAGGAACTACACGCGCACGTCGCTCTTTCCTCTTTCTTTCCCTGTCTCTCTTACACGATTCTGTTCCTTCGTTTCTCCTTTTCGCGCCAAGTTCTACCTGTCAGCGATGCGCTTGTCGTTGTTGCAGCGTAGTCGGATCAAGATGGCTTTCCTTCGACGTGTTCGAATTTTCCGTTGTTGTAACGACGTGCGTGCCGCGAGAAATTCTTCTGTCCGCGAAAGAGCCGGTATCGTAGCCCCCCGTAGTTTCTCCTCTTCACTGGTCTCATGCGTGCCCACTGGTTACGTATCCCGCGTTCGACTCACTGCTGCTAGGGAGAAACAACGGAACCGGAACGTTTCACCAGAGTGATCCTCTCGTATCGAATCGACGTTACTTCGACGTGAATCGAAGGGTCGTGTATACCGATTCAATCGTGATTTCGCGACATCGCCCCCTGCCGGATCCGTCTATCTCTCTCTCTCTCTCTCTCTCTCTCTCTCGTTTTGTTGGTTACGTTATAACGGACAGAAGCAGGCGGACGACTTTTTAAAAATGCCACGCAGCGACCAATCACGAACACGGGCACAAGGAACGCATACTGTACGAGAAGATAGAAGAGGAGAGAAAGAAGCACAACCCGCTGCACACGCTCCTGCAACCACGCTACGTACCACAGGTATATATACACACAGCCACTTGGAGGGAGGCGCGCGCGCGCACATACGACGCGATCTCCTCAACCGATGTCGATCTTTCTTGCCGTTTTCCAGAGATCACACACGACGCGATCGTATTACCGACGACCGCGACCACGAAGTCCACGTAACGTCGACGAACCTAACGAACCAGCTCTGTCGCGCAGCAAACGGCCGGAATAGGTTAAGCACAAGTTATTTCGTGGAATGTCTGGGCGCGAGTTGCGTGGCCAACCGTCCGTCCGTGCGACTAAGGTAAGTTGAACTGAGCAGCAGCGCGCCTACGGTGAACGAGATTAAAGTCCCGTACCGGCGGAACCGCGATATCAGCCAATCAGCGGGCGGTTTTGCGCGAGTCGTCCAATCGCGGCGGCCGCTGACCTGGTGAACGCTTAGCCCCAGGTGCAGCCGCTAAGGCGCCATTGCCTGGCGTTGGCACGTTACCTGCCTCGACTTGGAGGGGGCTGTGGACGAATGACAGAGTGGGGGCACCGGTACGCGACAGAGACAACCTAACGTTCGACGTGGGATGAGGACGAAGAGAAAAGACGGCGGCGAGAGGCGGCGAATTGCCATAAGTCTTTTCGGTGGCAAGCACAAACCCCGAATCGTTCGTTTTCACAGAATTTTCGCGATCAACTTTTGCATTGTGTCGCGTACAGAACGAAAACGAATCGCGTGTGCTTTGTCGATCGCACGGATACCGGCTATTCGAGAGAATTTCAAGTCTCTCATCGTTCCTCGATGGGCACGTTTACACTGTTGCAACAACGCGCGCAGCGTGCACGCCAAAGTTTTTGGTATCCACTCCGTTGCAATAAGCGGCGCGGAGAGCACTGAAGCGTTCGAGACGAAAAATAGTTGGCATTCGAATGCGATTGTGATTTGTAGTAAAGTGATCGATTGATTGCAGTGAAAATTAGTTGTTTCGATGCATTTGCACGTTCAGCGATAATTTTATTCATTTAGGAAGCACTTTTTGCGGTTTATAGTCTCACATTTATTCTTATATTTAACGATCTTGTTACTTATTCGTAGCCTATTAGCTCGCTTTTATTGCGAGCGACTAAAGGTCTAAGGAACCAAGGGCATAGGAAGGTAGAGGCACGGCTGTTATCTAAATTACACTATTTTCTCGAGTGTGCTAGCGATGGATCTTTTTTCGATCGTTTGGAACGTAAGTATCGAATTGAGATGGGTGTTCTGGCAATTTCACACAGGCTCGTCCTCCTTTCCCCGCGTATTCCTCTCTTCTTTCATCTATCTCTCAGCGTCTCCAAAGTGTTCACTGTATTCCCTCTCGCCGAGGAGAGAAGCGGTTCAGATTCAAGGAACCCCGTGGTAACCCTAAACACGATTCATATTTTTTCAGATATCCATCTTTCGATTAGGACGAGGCGAAGCGCACGTGGACACCAAGTCCGTGCGAACCCACCAAACCGTTAAGATGGTACCGTCGTTTGAAAATCGAATTCTCCTCGTGTATTTACTGCCGTACTTATTGCACCCCTGTCGTCGTCGTACCCGTGCATCGTAAACATTTATTTATCAAGGTTTGTGCTAAGTCGGGGACAATCTGCTTTACGGCGAAAATAATCGTTAACGCGAGTCCAAGGAACGGGGAGGGTAAAGGTAAAGGTAATCCTCGAGAATCGGCGACAATGCGGAGAAAAATGGATCTGCAAATAGGGTCCCTTACCTGAAGGGCGCGATTTTCACGAGACGGTTGCTTTCTTCTTCGAATTGTGGACATAAACCAGTGCTCAACCATTTTAAAGGACGATTACAATGTTTACGATAGGATAGGGAGAACTCACCCTACACTTTGACGAATCTTGACGAAACTGTCTCGGTGGCAACTTTGATTAGGAGAAGACGAGCTATGCATGGTAACGCTCTAGCACACCTGTCACGCATCACCAACTAGAAACTCTCAGGTAGATTATGAAACCGTAACTCTTCGAAGGATATCGGTAGAAATTGTTAATCGTGATAAATTAACTATTTCGTAGCAAAGAATCTCCGAACTACGCTTGTATGATCATGTATAGCAAATCTGAGGAGGTTAACAGGAAAGATAAACTGCTAGAGGATATAACAGGTGGGAGCGATATGGTTGCGCCTCTGAATGAAAGGGCGCTCTCCCCGTGTTCGACGTAGTATTTGCTCGTTCACTCGTTCCTATTTTATTGTTGCACCGGCATTTCGTTCACAGGCGTGCTCGCCACGTGGATTAGGGACACTGAAGATTTGTGAGAACGAGAGATACTCGATATCCGGTCCGCTCTGGCGGGCTTTCCCTTTTCGTTCTCCGTATCGCCTCCCAGCAGCCTCTACGTATACAGTTTCGACGACGCAATATCGCGATACGTTTCCGAGACAGATACACGCTCGCGAATTAGAGCGTGTAATCAAATATCCATAGAAGCCTGAACTAGGGTTTCCGCTTACTTCGATCTTCGCCGTGCTCACGTCTTTCGCGAACGGCGACGGTGGTGTCTGCGTTGCGCTCCGATTTGCTCAGAGAACTGTGGGATTCTGGTTGTCGTCCACCCTTGTACGCAATCGCTGTGCGAGTAGAGTGGACACGAGGAAGCGAATGAAATACGAGTTCGGTGGAGAAGTTCGTTAACCCCTGAATGTTAAGAGTCCTTATACACGATTCGACATAGCTAGAATCATAGCCAGAATCAGAACTGACCGTAGTACGGTCTCTCTCTCTCGAGTTTACGTTGACTGTTTTCGAGCTGGGAACTTAATTAACGACAACTGATGACATAATTGGGATAAGAGGAATCCATTTGAACCCCAGCTGGGAACGAGTACCTCTGATTACAGCACACGGAAGAAGGTATCGAAGACAACCGACACAATTATCTCTGATAACGTTATCGATGTATAATCTCAGTCCGACACGTTGCCATAAAAGGAGACACGGTTCCTTCGCCGGGAAGTTTGTTCCATTTCGCGAATTATCATTGAGCTCCGTCTGCGTGAACCGAAACTGTCCGAAGAGCCAGGCATTAATTACACCAGCAGGTAAAACTTGAGCTTTCTACATTGTGCGCAGAGATTACAATGCATTTTATGCAAACCAGCTCGTAGAATAGCAGCTCGTTGAATACAGCGTCCAATCCTCTCGCGTCTCCTTGCTTCTCGTTTCTCCTTTCGATCTCCCTCTGGCTTGTCACCCGGACGCTCTCTTTCTCCTTTGGTATTCTATTCGCGGTACGAAATAATAAACGACATCCGAATCTCTAATTACTTCCCAATTTCATAAACTAATTGTAAGTTGGTGATTCAAGCGAGCATAGAGAAAGGTGACATACGCCGTGTGTTATTCCAGGTGTCTGGTATCTTCCACTACTAAGATTCGAATCATTGAATACTGAACTAGATATAGCTCTCAGAGGAATTCTTACTCATAGTAGATTTTGGCGAATCCTTGAATTTATCGGATCCTTGAACTGTCCAGCATTCGTGTATTCCACGCGCACGCCACGAGCCCCGCTGCCAGAATAGCTTACTCATTATTGGGAGTATGTCTGCACGAAGTTACATTGTTCGGTGGCGTGTTTGCTTCAGGGAGTTGTAATCATTTGTGTGAAATTTCGTAGAACCAGCAGATATACAATAGACGCTACATACCTTTGAAGCATCAGCGAGAATGTTACCTATGATCAGCGTATAACCTGCAGTTTTATTAAGCTCCAGGTTATACGTATCATGTTTTATCTCGCCGGGAGAAATAGCTTTAACGCGTGTCGCTATTCGACACGGAGCATATGGAAACTCTTGCATATCGTGTTCGCTAGTATTTCCAAGCGGTGGGACCGGTTTGGCTTAATCCGTGAAGCGTTAGGCAAATAGGTCTGGGTTAGGAAGAATCTTATCGATTCGACGTACTCTACAAATCCAAAGTCTCGCGTTTCGTACATGTACCAAACAGTCAAGTATCTTTCTCAATCTAACCTCTTCTTTTTTTTTTACAGGGAGGACAAATAATATGTGACCAGTAAAATAAAGGGCAATACCTCCTCTTACACTCCAGATAACGGCGCCGTGTGTGACACTACTTTGCTCTGGGAAGATAATCCCCAACCTTCGGTGCAATAACTATGCTAAAACAGTTAGCCACTTTAAGAAAATACATTTCAAAATTCAAGAAGATAACCCCTCTAAGAACGATCTAGCGACGCATTCCGCGCTGCATCGTCGTCTAGAAGGTCGAACGTCGCTCGCACCTCATCGCGACAAACGGACCGCGCGCAATTTCGAAAAGCGCGCTTCTGCATTATTCAGCAGCGATGGTAAGTGTGAAACGAACGTAATGTAACGGGTCATTGGGAACAATGGTTAACGCCTTGTCGGCTCACGGGGCTGTTCGCTCCGTTTGCAGCCGAATAGAACGCATAACGGAAGTCGAGGAATTCCTGGAAGTCCGGGAATTCGTGGCGATCGTAAAAGGCAAATGAGTTTCTAAGAAGGGTATTAGTTTAATAGGTAAGACTCAGAACGTGGATTGTCTCTTATAAATCGCCAGCGATTTAACGGTTTCCGAACGATTGCTTCTAATGGCTCGGTCGTCGCCTGCGCCTGCAGGCCTGCGACGCGTCCTAACCTGGGAGCCGTGAACGTGTTGTAAATTAGGAAACGAGCGTCGTCCAATCGTGGAATTTCCCAATAATGGTGACTCGGTACCTTCCTCTGCTCCTACGAAGAATTTGATTGACCAACTGGGACGAAACAAATCCGTAAATCACTCTATCGGATCAACACGAGATATACCCAGAAATAGTATGGCTCAGGAACAGACGCCACCGGACAGAGACTAGCGAAACAAATCTGAATTGCAATAGCGACTGAGATAGACGACGTCTGCCAGCGAGTTTACAGAAAGTTACGAGACAGAGTTTGGGAAGAGCTCGAAGGTATAGACGAGGATAGGAGAGTCTCGGTGGCCTCGAGCGACCAGTTGATTTCCGTTCCCGACCGTAGATCGCTGGGAGCGACACGATTCCGTGTATCAACATACGCGAGACGATTTTGAAAGCGTCGATATCTCGTTTCACATCAGAGCCGTTGACTCGAACTACTCCCGCGAGTCCACCGCGCTTATTTGTGTTTACCAGAGCAAACGGTAGCGGGAGGGAGACGGATAACCTAGTAGGCGTATTATACACTCGGCGCCAATAGTCTTGCGAGTGGTATCGGGTTACACGCGATTGTTAGAATAATTACGTGTCACTCATTCCTG